AACATGACTCAGTATTTTCTCTGCCGATGCAAAGATCACACTGCCAATTCTGGGTATATTTGAGACAGTTTCCTACGGAGAATTGGAACAGTTTTTCAGTCCAGAGCTTTGTTTTTCAGCAGCCTTAAGCCTATTGATGTGAAAATAAGTGATTTTAAAAATGAGTGTTTTGCCAAAATGTACATAAATACACTGAAGAAATGACCAAACATGGGGAAAGTCCCTCTACCCCCATGTTTTCCCAACAGTTTATCTGATTTTTTTCATGACTATCAATGTCTGATTTTTCTTTCTGATTCTCCCTAGCCTGACTTGCTGCTGGGCCATCTCTTTTTCTGCTGGATATCATCTCTGGTGTTTATTTGGCCATCCATGTCCTGCTGGGTGACAGTCACCATCCTGTGACTGATGGTTGTGAGTTCTCCCCTCCTGCCAAGAGACAAGTAGGCATACTTGTGGGTACCTGTATGTGGTTCAGCCAGAAGTACCAGAAAATTCCCCTTTCTCCCTTCTGGCAACCTCCTGCCCTGCTCTTCTACTTTATCCTCCCTTTATGTCACGTACAGAGTATGGCATGTGCTCTGGGAGATATACAAAGCCAGGCATGGGCTTTGGATGCTTTTATTGTGCAACAATCAGTGCACTCTTCTCCCATACCCTCTTCTCTACTAATGTGCAATGTGCTGGTGATTATGTCTTTGATAAGAAGAGGTTTCTGGCTAAGACCCTCACCTGCAGTCAGCATTCCAGGGCTACCAATAAACCACTTTTCTGTGCTGATAGCAGCCCTCAGCCCTGTGGACCTTGCTGAGGGTCTGTGAATGGCTAGAGGATAACACCCTAGTGGATGAAGGATGTTGCACAGCAAAGGTTGTCTGCGAAGATGATGTGCCTGTAGATTCATTCTGTAGAGCGTACAGAGTGAAATGAATTCCGTACACTCTGCTTATTTGGTTGTCAATTTCAACCATAGAAATTGCCACACTCAGTCCCTGGCAATGGCCTAATGTGACCTGCACTTGGCACCATGACCCAAACCCCACTACAATCCTGACTCCATACTGGCCCCTACAACAGTGAGCTGTACCTGACCCATTTATTCACAAGCTTGCACTACAGTACTAGACAACTGTATTGTCTTCCTATCATTCTACTTCCTCAGTCCTAAGATTTTCTTCCTATTCTCTACCTTCCACTGTCCAGCCATGGCAATATTTCACCCCAAACTTAGGCCTGAGTAGATCCATCATCCCTACAGATCTCATTGGAAGCCATTTGATGTGGTTGACTCAAGTGCCTTTGCAGGCTTATCTCATAATGATAAGAAACAGGTAGCAGGCCTTATAATTTCTGCACAATCCTCACATAATTCAGGAAGAATCCTACACTTAAACCCTTTTTAGCCTACAGCCTGATTCCAGCCTTAAGGATAAACTATCAGCCAGCATTCCTCGAATCACAAGCAGAAGCATTGTGCCTTACTGAGCACCAGCACTCAGGCTTGTCCTGAAGAGCAAGCAGAGGTGGTGCTCTTTAGTCCCTGGTGCCCCAGTCTCTAACCCTGACTTCAGTGTCTGATGAAGATGCAATGCTCCTCACTTACAGTCCTGTACTCTGAGTGCCAGAGCCACTCACCCTGCCAGCCCCAGCCCTATACATGAGTGTTTTTTATGTTTTTGCTGGAATCCAGGCACGGAGAGGGGGGCAGTCACTGGGACTTGCTAGGTGTACAAGCTGTAAGTTGTGTTTTTCAGATTGGGTTTGATGGGGCAGAGCATGTTTTGGTGGATTTTAGGGTGGAAAGATTATATTTGGGCATGGCTTGAAGAACTAACTGGCTTGCTCAGCTGCTGAGGGGATGGTGGGCTGGGTACAAGACAGGGCATGGGGCAGAGTGACAGTATCTGTACATCAGTGTGGAGCAGGCAGTCGTGGTCTGTGGCACTGGTCACTCTCCTTTCCTAAAACAAGCTTCATTGTTCCCACCTTCTTAATTCTCACTGCCCTTCCACCGGTTCTTCATCACTGTCTCCAGCCTTTTTCCTCCAGCCTTTGGATTTCCAGAGCTACCAACTGCTCTAGAGCTGTTGTTCAGCTCTCCCCAGCTCTCTGTCATTGCTGCCTTGCCTGGTTTGGCAGTCAGAGCCAGAGGCCAAGCATATGAACCCTGTGCTGCCTACTAGAAGGTGGTCTGCACACTGTATTTCACATTGGTGTGTCTTGCTGGTTGGGAGACAGGAATGGAGACTGCTATGGCCTCAGGCGTCCTCAGGTATTGTTGTGCAGCTGTGAATATTGAGCTTGCTTCTGAAGTTTTTTTGGGATTGGCCTTTAAACTTGCTTCATTTAATTATTTACTTTGAAGGTAGGTACTGCATTTTTTGTTTCTGAACTGTGCTTACTAAGATTGTCATAGAAAAGCTCTCCAAGTTTCTGGAAAGAATACTTATTAAAAGGGGGTTTGTAATTGTTATGGTGTGTGGTGCTCAGCTTTCCTGAACTTTTTCTATGTCACATTCAGGCATAGTCTACTGTTTGTGAAAGACAGCTTGGAAAGAGAAAAGCTGACAGCAGGTCAGACAGAGGGAGACGGAGCTGGTTTATGACACTTTTTTTGCAACAGATGAAGTTGGCATTCCCCACCTGATTAAGGTGCAGCAGATTGAATCACTAACACACCTTGTTCTGAAATAAATCACAGTGACAAAACGACATTGCTTGTGGCAGTAGGCAAAGTGCTTATTAAACTGCGAGCAGTACTTTGCATGCTTAAATCACAACTACTCTTTTTCAACAAACAAACAAACAAACAAACTTTTTTTTTCCCCATAATCAAGGCCAGTAAAGGGCAGGTCCCCACAGGGTGCTGAGTCCAGCCTGCTTCCTCATTCTTTGCACTCTCTCTGGTGGGTTGCTTTCTTCTGTGTCAAGTGAAAACTTCCTCACGCAGCCCTGAGCCCGGCCAGGTCCCCTCCCCTGCAGTGCAGCCCCAGCCCATCTCTCCCGGGAACACCCACCCCATTCCCACCTGCCTTACCAAGGGGGGCTCAGGGGGTTTGTCCTTTGCAGACACTTCCCCATACACAACACGTCTGCATTTTTATGGCCGGTTTGGATAAAGACATGACTCCAGCTGGTAACTGCAGCTTCCAGATAAGACTGACCCCGTGACAAGGTAAGAAACACCCAAATAAGGAGCAAGGAGATGCCCATTTTCAGGCTCCAGGGTAGCTACATGTGCCAACACTTTGTTGCACAAACACAGAGTAACCCCTCTAACTGGAACACTTCTCTTGGTAGTCGTTACCTTATCTCTGCAATTGATTCTGCAAGAGTTTGCAGGCCCTACCATTAGAAAGCAACTTCCTGCATGTGTCTTTGAATCAGATTAAGAAAGGGAAACAATATTTCTAATGACAGAGCCTCTTGGTATGTATTATTTCCTGAAATTCTGAAATTGTAATTCGTTGCCTTACTGGTGTTTCTTGCCCCTAATAAATTTTACATCAGCTTTTTAGAAGACTGAGTGTCTACGGCCCCATTTTGAGTTGCTGAAATACCAAGGTGTGTTGGAAAACTAAAGAGTATTGAAACATCCACAAACAACATCCTGCAGGTCAGAACCTTGTGCACTTTCTAAATAGGTCAAGGTTTCGTTCGAGAATCTGGTATTTCTTGAACATATCCTCTACACTTCCTTTATTTCTCTGTGTCATTCTCCATTCAGTCACAGAGCCTGTGTGCTGGATTTATTTGTTTTACATTTCTTTGCTGTCCATTTTGCTGCCAAATCATCATCTCGTGTTGCTTGTCTTATATAAATGTTAACATTAGCAAGCTTCACAATAACAGTCTGGAAAGGAAACATTTACTTCTGAGCTTCCCTCTGCCAAACAAACCTACAGCGTTTGCTTTTTTGTGGCTACTAGTGGTTAAGGCCATGGGTTGTAAAATTATAATGCTGTAGGGAGTGTCTATTACAGTTATGATCACTGTAACATGCACTTGGACATATTTATTGTTTCGCTTTTAAATCGGTACATTCAGTGTGGAGGACATGGCTCTCCATTCCCTCATACAATATAATCTCCATAGGTCCTTGAAAGGCTGCCGGGAAAAAAACCAACTCTGTTTTAAAATCAACTTTTTTGTTCTCGATGACACATAATGAAAGCATCAGTGTTACTTTTGTGTCCTGAAAGAAAGGGTGACGGCATGGAGCGGAACAGCGCATGATGCGCACGTAGGCAGCGAGAGCTTGACAAGAAATAAACCATTGCCACCCCCGGCTGGGCAGCGTGGAAGCACCGGCTCCTCGGGGGGTGTCGGGACGGGCCGGGGCAGCACCGGACAGCACCGGGCAGGACAGCGCGGTCCGTCCCGACCGCCGCCGCCGCCGCTCTCGTTACATAACGGGGGGACGGGGGGGGGGGGGGCGGCGCGCGCCGCGTCCCGCGCCCGCCTCCTGCCGTGTCCTCGCGGCACCCCCGCCCCGCCCCTCCCCGCGTGACACCGGCGCGTGCCTCCCCGCGGCCCGCCTCCCGGGAGGGGCGGCACGTGCGCGCCCCGCCCCGCCCCGCGCGCTCCACGGGGATAAATCGCCTACTCCGCTCCCGGCCCGCCCGCGCACGCCCAGTCCCCGCCGCTTCGGGCGGCGCGGGGCGGGGCGCGGGCCGTTCGGCCGGGCGCAGGCGCGGCGGGGACGGTCGCCGGGCGGGGCGGCCGGGGCGGTGCTTCCCCCCCCCCACCCCCCTCCCATCGCCGTCCCCGGCCTCCTCCTCCTCCCGCCTCCACGGGGGCCGGGTGACGCACGTGCGCGCGCCCCCGCGCGCTGTTGTCCGCTCGCTCCCGTGCCGCCCGCCCCGTGCGCGTGCCAGCCGGCGGCGGGGGGCGCGCGCGGCGTGCGGGGCCGGCACGCGCGCTGTTGTTATTGGCGGCGCCGCCGCGGCCGCGGCGGAGCGAGCGGGGCGGGGGGGAACGGGACGGGACGGGGAGGAGCGGAGCCGGGCGGGCGGCTCAGTCAGGGAGTTCTTTAAAGATGGCCGGAGCGACGGCCGCCGCCGCGACCCCCGTGTACTGCGTGTGCCGCGAACCCTACGACGTGAGCCGCTTCATGATCGAGTGCGACATCTGCAAGGACTGGTTCCACGGCAGGTAAGGCGCCGGGAGCCGCGCCGGGGCCGGGCGGCGCGGCGGGGCAGCCGGCGGGCGGCACCGGGCACAGGCGGTGGCAGTCGCCTTCCCCCCTCCCGCCGGGGGGGACAATGGCTGCGCGGCGGCAGCACGGGGGGAGCGGCGGGCGCTCGCCCGGTCCGGCTCCCCCCCCCCTCGCCGCGGGGACAGTGCCGGCGCCGGCGGCCGTCCCCGGGCACATGGGTCCGCGGCTGTGAGGGGGCGGACGGGCCGGGCCAGGCGGGGGGGGGCTGGTTACGAAAGAGCAACAGATGCGGGGCTGGCGGGGCCGGGGCCACCCCGAAGTTGTGCCGACTCTGCAGAGGCGTCGCGTGTCCCCCCGCGCCCCCCGGGGGTCTCTCCCGGGACAGGGCGGTCTCCCGGCAGAGAAGTGCGGACACCGGGGCTGTCTCCGGCCGGGTGCGAGCTCCGGGCTGCCCGTGCGTTTTGTTCGGGGGCGGCGGAAGCTGAGAAAGAGGGTCGCCCCGCGCCTCTCGCCGCTTTGACGTTTCCAGCCCGGTCCCGAGCGGCCGCCGCCGCCGCGCGTGTGTTTTGCGAGCCGAGCGTGTGAATAATAAAAGGCCCGTCGGCAGCGGCTGCGAGCGGGAGGAAGCGGCGGCAGCGGCGGCGGAGGGGATTTACGGGCAGTTAAACAAAGGAGCAAGTTGGGGGCCCGCGGCGGTGGCGGCGGCGGCTCGGCCGGGCCGGGGCTGCGGGGCCGCTCGGTGCCGCCCCCGCCGTGCGGGGAGCGCCGGGGAGCGCGCGGCGCCCGTGATTGACAGCCCGGCGTTTAAATACCCCGAGCGGCAACAACAACAGCGGCGGCCGCCCGCGCCGCGCCCCCTGCCGGCCAGGGCCCGCAGCGCCGCCCCCCGAGCCTGCCCCCGGGCCCGGCGCTCGCGGCGCCCCGGCGGGGGCCGTGCGCGGGGTCGTGCTTGTTTGGGTTTGTTTTCCCTCAAACGGCAAAAGACAAACGCCGACCGAAAGTAGGTTGCGCGTTTAGGTGTTACTTAACAGTAATTGTTACACGCGAGTGTTTTGTTGCCGCGTTTGAGGAGGAAAGGAAGGCTCGCAACGTTTCAGATGTTTACTTGTTTGATTTGTTCTTTGTACATGGGCTTCTCCCGGCTCGAGCTGCAGTGTAATAGAAAGTGTGAAAAGGGCTTTGTAAACCATAAAAACTGGCAAAGCAGGATCGTTGTACCTTAAAAACAACCTCTCATTAATATTTTTAACTAGACTGCTACTACTCTTGCCAGTACTGTTGTTTAGAGAGAGACACAGAGCAGCTCTTCGGTTTACAGCAGCTTAATAGAAGTTTGTCAGAACTCGGTCATTGCCTGCAGTGAAGGTGCAGGCATTGCCTGAAGTGTTTGTTACAGGTTCTTTCTCTTCCAAGTCTTCTTCTGCATTTGTGTAGTTGCTCTTTCAGAATGTCCTGGCAATTGCTCAGGTTCTGTGCAGGCTCAACTTAAATGCCAGCCTTGTGCGTCAGTATTGCTGGGGTATGGGCGAACTAAATTTCTGAAATTGTTACAAGGAGGAAAGCATTGCCCGACCCAAAGGTGGGACAGACCACTTTGTAGCTTTCTTGGATCTTGATGTGCAAAATGCTCCCCACAGGCTCCTGTGATTGAGCTCTGTCATGTACAGGGTAGAAGAAGCCTGTTAGCACTGAGCTGCCTTGGTAGTCTGAAACCCTAAGAGTGGAAAATAAGCAAGCAGGCCAGCAAGAGCTGGCAGCAGCCATGCTGCTTTGGGATTTAGTTGCATGCTCACCCAGTCTCATGACCAAGGGACAGGTTTTTGGGAGACTCCTTTCCCCCTGCCAGCTGTGGTCTGCTCTGGGAATGCCTTTCCCCTTGCTGTAAGAGTGTATGAGGACAGTTACATAGCTTGTGAAAGAAAACACACACTCTCAAATCTTGAAGTTTTTTGTGAACTTCTTAGTTTCATGTGTTCTTGATTTTATTTCTTTTTAATTTTTTTTCCCTGACCTGTGGAATGGGACTGATGTGTCTTCTATCTTAAGAAACATAAACCCAGGCTGTGGTGTGCTAGCATGGTACCTAGTGCATGTTATTGGATTATGGACTCTTTGCTGCCTTCCTGTGTATAGTCAAGAGAGTGCCTGAACAGTACAGTGGAGGCTGTACAAAGTCTGTTCTGGCACATTGTTACTTAGTCCCTTCAAATTTTTATGTGATTTTTTTTTTCCTGTGTGTTCTTTTTGCACTCTCTCTCTTCAAATGATTTGTACTTTGGTTTGCTGTTATCAATATATTAGTATTATGAAATGTGCGGTTTTTTGCTTTTGGCAAATATTTGTGTTACAACAAACGTGTTTGTTATGCCTGGCAAGGCTGTGAACCTGCTTTGTGGGTTTCAGTTACTCTCGGAGTGGGCCTAACATGCAGCCAGTCTGGTGTAATTACCCCTTGTGAACAAAAGAGCGTAACACGGGTGCCTGAGCGCTGTTTGAGGCTTGTCGCCTTCCTGAATGGCTTGTGAGAGTGCAGAGACTACAGAGCTTCAGATGTGACAAACTGTCAAAGCTCTCAGACGTGCAAAGCCATTTATGTTTCAGGCAATTTTTGTGTTTTCCCCATCATTTTATCTGCTTTAAATGAAAATGTCACATTAAGCTGATTCCCGCTTTCTGACTTGTCTAGAATGTACTCCAGCTAGAATGAAGCATAACAAGTCCTTTATGCTGCTCTGTGTGTTCAACTTTTCTTGGATCTGTTCCGTAGCTCTTGAAACCTCTTTAATTTCTTGGTTTCATCTTCAAATGATATGTATCATTCTATGATACTTCTTGTGCTGTCTCTGCCTGCCTTCATTTTTTGATGCTTTGCCTCAGTTATTAGGTTAACAACATGCTGTCATCTTGTTTGTGTTTTTTTGCTGTGATATATTCTGTGCCAAAGTTACGTATCTTTTTTTAAACTGCTCTTGCAGTCAGCTCTGTTCTTGAAATATATTTGTGAAGTTTGCAAAAATCCTGTTGAAATTTTTGTTCTTTTTTCTGTCCATGATACATGTACTCAACTAGATTTATATGCCTTGCATAGATATGACTTATTCCTGTAGACTAGATCTCAGGACAGAACAAACTGAAGTTTAAGCATATAATTCAGTTTTTGTCTGCACAGTGTAGGGTTTTCTGTGATATTTCAGAAGTAAAGTACTGTATAATTGCCTTTTGAGGAGGCTGGCTTTGTAAAGCTGCACTGGTACTGTACTAGGTGTAAAGGAGTGTCAAGAAGTCAGGTAAACTGAGAATTAAAAATGCAGGTGCTCCTATGGAGTCTTGTGTGTTGCACTTTTCTGGGGATGTTTTGTTTCTCAACAAACATACAGTGAACTTCTAACATGTCTCAATGATGAATAGGTTAAGAAATTATCAAATGTGTGCATCTCAATTAGAGATCTCTGCCTTTTGAAATGCCTGCAACCTTTCTAATGTATTTTTACATTACAAAAAGGTGTTTGTTTTTTCTTTTAATTAAACAAAGAAAGTGTTTTACTCTTCAAAGTTAGAGCAATGGGGTATAAGAAAGGGAAAGAAAGCATCATTTTTTTGTTGTTGCTCAAAATTAGCAGTTTACCTGAAAATTTCATAATGATGTCAACTTTGGTGTCTTCCCCTCAAGGAGAAAATTTTTTATGTTTGCAGAAATAAATATTTAATTTGAGCAGCTTAGAGGGCAGTCAGGGAAGTACAGACTAATCTGTATGTAGTGTACATAAGAACATGCTTCTGTTGCAAAGCAAAGTCAAATTGATTAAATTTATATGGAATTGTTTTTAAATTGATAGCTCTTGCTCTCAGGATTAATTTTGTATTTTGTATAATCTAGAAAGAATTAACTTTGCCCTTTCCTACAGCAGTTCATTGGTGGTATTTTGCCATTAGGTGTTTGATGTTTTTTACAGCTTTGTCACTATTAGAAAACATTTAACAACATAATTTGAAAAGAAAGGGGATTCGTGTATCGTTTGAAGATTATAATTTAAACTGCAGATGCCTTGAGGCCTTTTTTCCTCACATGGAGGAAAAATTCAGTGCCAAAGTCACATCTGAGTGAAGTTCATATAGAACATATTCTTTCTGATATTGTATGGGTTTGAGCGTGCCTTTGTTTGGTCTCTGAAGAAACCCAAAACTTCTCATCCACACCTTCATGTGATCTTGACGTAAAATCCAGGTTTCCCTCTTGCAGCTGTTAGGTTCCGTGGTACAGGTCTGTCTGAACACACTGATTTGTACTCTGAAGGCAGGCTTTCTCCTTAAGAAAAGAAGGAAATGCATGTGCTATAGTGACTACTTCTCCTGAATTGGTTCTTTGTTTTGGAGTTTTATACATGAGGTTCTGCACCATGGGCTTTGCCAACTCTTTGCTGCTGAAAGAGGCTGTCCTGCTCCTGGCTGTGTGCTGCTATAATTCCTCTTTTGCTGGTTCAGTGCTTGCCTGATTGGTAAATCAACTCTGCTCACAAAACTGACAGAGCCCATTCTCTTGCTGGGCTAGCTTTTTGTTGGGTTACTGAGTTGAGTGGGCTTGTCAAAGGCTAGGATGAGTCCCAGAGTGTTGCAAAACACTTGAAGGAATGTATTGTTGGAGATGATACTGGTGGGAAAAGACAGAAGAGTTGGTCTTTTTTTTTCCTCACTGCCCACTTTGGGATTGATAGCTCACCCAGTTTTGTAGAGCCTTGTTTTTGTGTCTCAGTCTCCATGTGTGATTCTGCCCGGAGTCCAGTGGAATCAAGGCATTTCCAGTGCAGGTGCAGGAGCACAACCCCAGAACCCCAGGGGCAGGTGAAGCTCTGGTGTCTGTCGTGGAGCTGGAGGACGAGGCATGGTGATGCTCCTGTCAGGGAATGTGGAGGTTGCAAAGAGGCTGCTTACAAACCTTTTTGGTGCAGACCTTCTCTTTAGAGAAAATTAAGGCCTTGTAGTTAGAAACATTCAGGGA